TCCACTACTGTCTCCCCAGCTCCTCCACTACTGTCTCCCAGCTCCTCAACTACTGTCTCCCCAGCTCCTCCACTACTGTCTCCCAGCTCCTCCATACTGTCTCCTAGCTCCTTCACTACTGTCTCCAGCTCCTCCACTACTGTCTCCCAGCTCCTCCACTACTGTCTCCTAGCTCCTTCACTACTGTCTCCCAGCTCCTCCACTACTGTCTCCCAGCTCCTCCACTACTGTCTCCCAGCTCCTCCACTACTGTCTCCCAGCTCCTCCACTACTGTCTCCAGCTCCTCCACTACTGTCTCCTAGCTCCTCCACTACTGTCTCCTAGCTCCTCCACTACTGTCTCCCAGCTCCTCCACTACTGTCTCCCAGCTCCTCCACTACTATCTCCCAGCTCCTCCACTACTGTCTCCCAGCTCCTCCACTACTGTCTCCTAGCTTCTCCACTACTGTCTCCCAGCTCCTCCACTACTGTCTCCCCAGCTCCTCCACTACTGTCTCCCAGCTCCTCCACTACTGTCTCCTAGCTTCTCCACTACTGTCTCCCAGCTCCTCCACTACTGTCTCCCCAGCTCCTCCACTACTGTCTCCCAGCTCCTCCACTACTGTCTCCTAGCTTCTCCACTACTGTCTCTCCCAGCTCCTCCACTACTGTCTCCCCAGCTCCTCCACTACTGTCTCCTAATCCTCCACTACTGTCTCCTAGCTCTCCATCACTGTCTCCCAGCTCCTCCACTACTGTCTCCTAGCTCCTCCACTACTGTCTCCTAGCTCCTTCACTACTGTCTCCCAGCTCCTCCACTACTGTCTCCTAGCTCCTCCACTACTGTCTCCCAGCTCCTCCACTACTGTCTCCCAGCTCCTCCACTACTGTCTCCTAGCTCCTTCACTACTGTCTCCCAGCTCCTCCACTACTGTCTCCTAGCTCCTCCACTACTGTCTCCCAGCTCCTCCACTACTGTCTCCCAGCTCCTCCACTACTGTCTCCTAGCTCCTCCACTACTGTCTCCTAGCTCCTCCACTACTGTCTCCCAGCTCCTCCACTACTGTCTCCAGCTCCTCCACTACTGTCTCCCAGCTCCTCCACTACTGTCTCCTAGCTCCTCCACTACTGTCTCCCCAGCTCCTCCACTACTGTCTCCCCCACTCCTTACAGCGCAGGTTTTGAGGTAGGTAAGTAGAGAGTTACAGTACAGCTGCTGGACAGAGGAGTCAGCATCTCAGTGTTAGATCGCTACACCTGTAAATAAGAACATTAACAATAACAAAATAGAATCAAGAACAATGTATCTAACAGAATAACAAGAACATGAACAAGAAAATAACAATATTATCATATGTGACACAGACAGAGATGTCAGCTACAACAGCCTATCTTCCTCTACGGATGACACCCGAATTTGCATGACAGAGTTAACCCTGGACAACACTGACACACTCCTAGCGGACATTAACCAAATGTTTACGTGGGCCGCAGAAAACAACATGAAGTTCAGTGAAGAGGAATTTCAATTAGTCCGATATGGAAAACTCGAGAAAATTAAAACCGTATCAGAGTACACAACAAATCTAAACCTCACAATAGAGCGAAAAACTAGTGTGAAGGACCTGGGAGTGATAATGTCAGAGAACATCACTTTCAAAGATCACAACAATTTATCTACCATATTTCCTAAGAAAATGATAGGATTGATTATGAGAACCTTCAAAACTAGAGACGCCAAGCCCATGATAATTCTCTTCCAATCATTTGTTCTCTCTAGGCTGGAATTGGAGTATTCAGTATAAAGAGAACTTTTATGGCACGTGTAAGTACGATAAAGTACCTAAATTACTACGAACGGTTGATGAATTTGATTTGTATTCCCTGGAATGCAGGCGAGAAAGATACATAATAATATACTCTTGGAAAATCCTAGAGGGATTAGTACCAAACTTGCACACGAAAATCACTCCTACGAAAACAAAAGACTCGGTAGGAGATGCAACATTCCCCCAATGAAAAGCAGAGTCGCCACGAGTACGCTGAGAGACAACACAGTAAGTGTCAGAGGCCCAAGACTGTTCAACTGCCTCCCAGCATACATAAGGGGGATTACCAATAGACCCCTGACTATCTTCACGAAGACGCTGGACAGGCACCTAAAGTCAGTACCTGCCTAGCCGGGCTGTGGTTCCTACGTCGGTCTATGTGCAGCCAGCAGTAATAGCCTGGTTGATCAGGCTCTGATCCAACACAAGGCCTGGTTACGGACAGGGCCGCGGGGGCGCTGACCCCCGAAACCCTCTCCAGGTATATTCCAGGTAGTAACAACAACAACAACAAAACAATTTCCACCATAACATGAAAAAAATAACGAGAACAATAGCAACAATAATACTAACAACACTAACATTAACATTAACAATAATAACATTACTAACTACTATAACAATAACTCTAGGAACTGCAATAACAATAACAATAACGCCTGCAACAACAATAAAAGAAATTATTAACAACAATAACACTACTAACAACACCAATATATAAAATATAGTGACAATAAAAATAGCAATAATAAACAAATAATATATATATATATATATATATATATATATATATATATATATATATATATATATATATATATATATATATATATATATATATATATATATATGTATAACTGTTGGTCTCAGACCAGTTTACACGTACCTCGGTCACTCCTCGACCCGAGGAAAGCATCAGAGTGGGCGAAACGTGCTCAAGTTATTAACAAGAGCACCGGTGGGGAGGGGGAGGAGAAACGAGCACTGTAACCGAGTCCATGTACCGACTCCGGAATAAAGCCGTACAAAGACTAGGGCATGTAAGGGCTTCACTAAACTCATGAATCTTCAATCAACAACACTCGGTTTGAGTTAGTTTTTCTACCTAGTTTATGTTATAATTCTAATTATCTACAATCACGTGATAAAAAACAACTGCTTGTTGCAGGCCAACATCAACACAGTGCAACAACACTCCAAAGTTTCCTTTAATGAAGGTTTGAATCCTGTCCTATCCCGCATCCCAAAATCCTCGCGTGAAAAGCAGTTTCAATTATCTCAATTTTTTCAATAAAAATTAACAGACTGGTGTAGCTATGCAGCCCAATATCAATCTTAATACGTTTCACACGTAAAATATACCACCGTTTAGGGTTTAAAGCCGATTGCGAGAACCATTCTTCAGTTAATGCCTGGAAACTAGTTGGTTAAATAGCATTATCAGATAACAAGGTACACAGCCCAGAATTAATGCGAACCTTCTTTTGCAACGTGGCTACCATCGCTCGAGGTTTGAAGCCAATTAGAAGAAGCATTCTCTAGTTATGGCTCTTATTCTAACTGTTGCAAGGTTATTAACCACGCTGAGACATGAATGAGTTACGTCTATAAATCTAGACTTACTGAGCACCATCTTGAGTGTGTAAGAAATAGTGATAATCAAACTGAGCGCCATCCTACGACTCTCACTAATGTTGAAAGTTTCAAGCCGAGCGGAAGAGGTTTTCTCGAGTTATCACACGGAAATCAGATCATTGGAGAGGACTGTATGACATTAATCAGACTGAGAACTGCACCAGTCCATGTATGTGACAGCTGCACCAGTCCATGTATGTGACAGCTGCACCAGTCCATGTATGTGACAGCTGCACCAGTCCATGTATGTGACGGCTGCACCAGTCCATGTATGTGACGGCTGCACCAGTCCATGTATGTGACGGCTGCACCAGTCCATATATCTGACAGCTGCACCAGTTCGTGTATCTGACAGCTTCATCAGTCCATGTATCTGACAGCTGCAGATACATGAATAATGATAATAATGATAATGATGATAATTATGATGATAATAATGATGATGGTGCTAATGATGATGGTGCTAATGATGATGACGATGATGATAATGATGGTGATGGTGATAATAATGTTGATAATGATTATAATAATAATAATAATAATGATAATAATGATGATGATAATGATGATAATGACGAATGTGTGGTGGGCAGGCAGTGTGTGTTGGGCAGGAAGTTGTGTGTGGTGGGCAGGAAGTGTGTGTGGTGGGCAGGAAGTGAGTGGTAGGTAGGCAGTGTGTGGCAGGCAGGTAGTGTGTAGTGGGCATTGTGTGGTGGGCAGACAGTATCTGTGGTGGAAGGCAGTGTGTGGTAGACAGTGTGTGGTGGGCAGGCAGTGAGTGGTACGCAGGCAGTGTGTGGTGCACAGTGTGTGGTGGGCAGGCAAGCAGTGTGGTGGGCAGGCAGGCAGTGTGGTGGGCAGGCAGGCAGACAGTGTGGTGGGCAGGCAGGCAGGCAGGCAGGCAGGCAGGCAGTGTGGTGGGCAGGTAGGCAGTGTGGTGGGCAGGCAGGCAGTCAGTGTGGTGGGCATGCAGTGGTGGGCAGGCAGGCAGGCAGGCAGTGTGGTGGGCAGGCAGGCAGGCAGGCAGGCAGGCAGGCAGGCAGTGTGGTGGGCAGGCAGGCAGGCAGCGTGGTGGGCAGGCAGGCAATGTGGTGGGCAGGCAGGCAGGCAATGTGGTGGGCAGGCAGGCAGGCAATGTGGTGGGCAGGCAGGCAGGCAATGTGGTAGGCAGGCAGTGTAGTGGGCAGGCAGGCAGGCAGTGTGGTGGGCAGGCAGGCAATGTGGTGGGCAGAGAGAGTGGGTTAACTATCTACTACTGCGTTTAAATCTCCAAGTCTCCCCCGCATCATCTTCACTCGCTCGCTCACGCTCCCTCATCTCTCTCTCTCTTTCTCTCTATATATCATCATATACTCTCTTCCTTACCTCCTCTATCACAGGTATCCACTCGAACACATCCTCTTCACAAACACCAGCAGATAAATACACAAGCACACATGCAAAACACCAGGTGTATAATGTGTCTTGTGTATGTGTGTTTGATAGAGAATTTCTCTTGTCTCAGATGATGGCTCTGACGAGTCACGAAAGCCAGCCTGAAGATGAGTTCGACTTACCTGCACATTTGTATGATTTCCTGCATTTGTGTAGGTGCTGAGGTAGCGAGGCGTGGGTGCGTGTGTGGGCTGGAGTGGGGTGGGGGAGGAGGGGCGGCCTCTCACCACCTATTCCATGAGTTAAGAGGCGCGCGGGGATGCTGCAGAAAAATGATAACTCAAGACTTGTTGCACCGTCGATGTGTTGGCAGACAGCAGCAGTGTACACCACTCACCAGCTCAGTCACTACTGAGCCACTCCTCACCATTGCTCCTCTAGGTGCCCCAGCCCCGCCCCTGGGTATCCCCCTCCACGCCTCCTATTGGTCGACGGGTGCTCATCCTTGCATCAGGGTTGGCTAGGATGGAAGATGGGAGGGGAGGTTAGCCAGGGGGAGCTCCGCCCCCCTCCATCCATGAGGCTGGAGTGTAAACAGAGATGAGTCTGACCTGGTTCTACCCCCCTTCCTTCCTGCCCTCCCCTTGTATTGTCTCGTCTCCTGATCTCTTGCCCATCTTCAAAACCTTGGTTGCACCAACACTCTCCTATCATCACCACACACACCGCTCCAGTGCAGAGAATAAATAACGCTGGAGATATGAAGAAGAGCTGTGAGCTAATCAGTCCCTGAAGTCTTGCTGGGAAGTGTTAAATCCTTCAGTCTTGACACACTGAATACTTCCTATATTGCACTGACTCCTGTATAGGATTGATAAAGCCACTGGTGGGCGAAACGTTTACACAATGAAGATATCCAAGTGTTGTACATGTGTCTTATTTACATATTCTAACATGCTCCAAAACCATACCAGCGCCACCTATCAACCACAAACACCCGCACTGGTACAACATCAAGGTGGAGAATGTTGCTTCGACACTGTGTGAGATGTCGGGGAGAGAGCTCTTCTGGCAGTGAGAGCTCATCATGCAGGGGATTTTTAATTGGCGGTACCTGATTCCTCCCTGGGCACTCGCCTCGACCCCAAGCGTCACTGCGGCAGTGACGCTTGTGACCATGGTCTTATATGTCTTAGGTCAAAGGGCAAAGACCAGAAGGCATGAAGACACTGACATTTATCAACAGATCTTGCTACAGCTCGCTGGCCAGCAGTTGGCACCCCTCAGCGAGTGGTTGTGAGTCTTACTGAGTGGTGGTGAGTCTTGAGTGGTTGTGAGTCTTACTGAGTGATTGTGAGTCATTGTGAATAGTTGTGAGCCATTCTGATTGGTTTTAAGTTGCCGTGAGTCTTCTGAGTGGGTGTGATTGATTGTCAATCAATCAGTGTATCTGTGAGTGGTTGTGAGTCACTGAGAGTGAGTGTGAGTTACTGTGAGTGCTTGTGAGGCACTCAGTGGTTATGAGCCACTGTGAGTGTCTATGAGGCACTAAGAGTGGTTATAAGTCACTGTGAGTGGTTGTGAGTCAGGAGAGTGAGAGACGGAGGAGGGGAGGGTGTGGGACCTTCCCTCGGTGCATTTCAGCAGGCTCCTGACCTCTCTTGTGCAGGTCTGTGACCTCTCTTGGTAAAGCTTGGTAATCTGACCCATTTCTCGTGGTCTTGTGCTGGTCACTTCTTGCCTCACACTCCCCTTTCTCCTTATTCTCCCCCTTCATATCTCCTTTTCTTTCTCTCGGTGCATCATATCACACGCTATCCTTTCTCCTCTTCTTCATTCTCTTTAAATATTCTTCATATTTCTTTCTTCTTCACAATGCACACGTATTTCTATCTCTTTTGCTAATCTTGTCTTCTACTCTCTTATTTGTATTTTCTTGCTTTGTACACACCCGTCTAGATTTGGTAGATCCAACACTGAAAATAGTACACCATCAACACTGTTGTTGTTGTAACTACAAACACTGAAGATAGTACACCATCAACACTGTTGTTGTTGTAACTACAAACACTGAAGATAGTACACCATTAACACTGTTGTTGTTGTAACTACAAACACTGAAGATAGTACACCATTAACATAGCTCTGCTGTTGTAACTGTCACAAAGAGCCTTTCCGGGAACTTTACACAATATATATGAGGCTCATTTTGGAGTACGCAGCACCAGTGTGAAGCCCACACCTGAGGAAGCAAGTTAAGAAACTGGAGAAAGTACAGAAGTACACAACTATGCTTGTTCCTGAGCTATGAACTATGACAAGAGACAACTAGAATTGAATTTGGAGACACTGGAGAAAAAAAAGAACCAGGGTAGACATGACAACAACATACAAAATACTCAGGGGGATTGACAGGATAGGGATAGGATATTTGAGAGGCGTGGTATGGGAACATGAAGAAGAAGCGTTAGGTAATCAGTCCCCGAGTCTTGCTGGGAAGTGTTAAGCCCGCAGTCTTGACACACTGAACACTTCCACTGATTCCTGTATTGGACTGACAAAGCCACTGGTGGGCGAAACGTAACCACAATAAAGACACCCAAGTGTTGTATATGTGTTTTACTTACATATTCCAACAGGCTGCAAAACCACACCAGCGCCACCTAACAAACTCAAACACTTACACTGGTATAACTTCAAGGTGGAGAATGTTGCCTCAACAATGTGCGAGAACGTCGGGGAGGAGAGAACTCTTCTGGCAGTGAGAGCTCCTCATGCAGGGGATTTTTAATTGGCGGTACCTGATTCCTCCCTGGGCACTCGCCTCTGTCATACCCCGTCAGTATTTCTTCCTCCTCTTCCTCCTTGTTTTTGCTCCTTCACACTCGTCTTTGTTCTTACGTGGCTGTGGAGTAACTTTGGTTCACTTGTGACCTCTGATGATGTGTCATTTTCAAAGTGACTTTTATCTTCTCTTTATACTCTATATTCATTTCTGTCTCTCTGGCTTAATTTCCGTTTTTTTTTACGGTTTGATTTGCTTATTATTTGTTTCAGCCTTCCTTGCTCCTTCCCTTGTTCCCTCTACACTCCTGGCTGAACCACGGGCCTCTCTCTCTCTCTCTCTTTCTTATTCCTCTTTTTCATGTTTGGGATACATCTTTGCTCTGCCTCTTGGCACTTTTCTGTTACCTCTCTCCTGTCTTGTGTACTTTTCCCCACCAGTTATCTTTCCTGTTACATCTCATTCACAATGTTTCTTATTTCATCATAGTCCTCCATTCTGTAGTCCCATTTCCTGTTTCTTACCATTACTGTTCCTCTCTTTCTCTCTGTGTTTGTGATGGCCAAGACTCAGCTCCTGGCCCCACCTCTTTGCTTCAAAAATTGGCCGGCATACACTATATCAAGGTCTCCTGGAGTCCTGTCATACCTATTCCTGAAGCTGAATTTGATGTCTATCTCCATCACCTCTTTCTATCTGTTTACCACCCTCAGGCTGAAGAAATGTTTCCTAACATCTTTGTGACTCACCTGTGTTCTTTCACCAGTGCCTTCTTGCCTCTGTGCCTAGTGTGTGGAATAACCTGGTCCTCTCTGCTCCAGAGAAACTTTATACGTTGTTATCATGTCTCTCGTGGTCGTATCTAATTGTCTAAGCGTCTTCTCATAGTTCTGGTATCAGTCTACTTCTAAAAGTGTTGTCTCAGGTGTGGGCTCCATGCTGGTGCTGCGTATTATACAACAGCTCTGACGCTGTGATTATAGGATTTGCTTACCTGCCATGCACACGTTATATAAAGTGATTTATCCGAACCTCTGGTGATATGTTAAGTGTAATAATTACTCCCAGCTTCTTCTCCTTATTTGATTTCATTAATTTTCCCCTCCCAGTTTACATACCTTGTCTAGTCATTATTTACCTTCTTCCTTCTGCATTCCTTTGCATTTGTCTGGGTTAAACTCTAACAGCCAGTTGTTTGAGCACTGGTACTCAAGTGTTGCTGTAGTTTATCTCCACTCGTCAGTCTTGTTATGTTTCCAGTCATCAAAGACTGATACATAACAAGTGATCTCTGGCGGAACATTTACGTTTATTAAGAAGAAAGTAGGTGCTGGGTACCATCCTTGAGGGACCCCCACTGTTTACACTCACCCAGTCCCATGGTTCCTCACTCACCCCTCACTGTTTAGTTAGTCACTCACCAACACTCACTGGTTCCTCACTCACCAACACTCACTGGTTCCTCACTCACCAACACTCACTGGTTCCTCACTCACCAACACTCTCTGGTTCCTCACTCACCAACACTCACTGGTTCCTCACTCACCAACACTCACTGGTTCCTCACTCCACCAACACTCTCTGGTTTCCTCACTCACACAACACTCACTGGTTCCTCACTCACCAACACTCTCTGGTTCCTCACTCACCAACACTCACTGGTTCCTCACTCACCAACACTCACTGGTTCCTCACTCACCATCACTCTCTGGTTCCTCACTCATCATCACTCACTGGTTCCTCACTCACCATCACTCTCTGGTTCCTCACTCACCATCACTCACTGGTTCCTCACTCACCAACACTCTCTGGTTCCTCACTCACCATCACTCTCTGGTTCCTCACTCATCATCACTCACTGGTTCCTCACTCACCAACACTCACTGGTTCCTCACTCACCATCACTCTCTAGTTCCTCACTCACTATCACTCACTGGTTTCTCACTCACCAACACTCTCCGGTTTCTCACTCACCAACACTCTCCGGTTCCTCGCTCACCATCACTCTCTGGTTCCTCACTCACTGGTTCCTCGCTCACCATCACTCTCTGGTTCCTCACTCACCAACACTCACTGGTTCCTCACTCACCATCACTCACTGATTCCTCATTCACCATCACTCTCTGGTTCCTCACTCACCATCACTCAATGATTCCTCATTCACCATCACTCTCTGGTTCCTCACTCACCATCACTCTCTGGTTCCTCACTCACCATCACTCACTGATTCCTCATTCACCATCACTCACTGGTTCCTCGCTCACCATCACTCTCTGGTTCCTCACTCACCAACACTCACTGGTTCCTCACTCACCATCACTCACTGATTCCTCATTCACCATCACTCTCTGGTTCCTCACTCACCAACACTCACTGGTTCCTCACTCACCATCACTCTCTGGTTCCTCACTCACCATCACTCTCTGGTTCCTCACTCACCATCACTCACTGGTTCCTCACTCACCAACACTCACTGGTTCCTCACTCACCATCACTCTCTGATTCCTCACTCACCAACGCTCACTGGTTCCTCACTCACCAACACTCACTAGTTCCTCACTCACCAACACTCACTGGTTCCTCACTCACCATCACTCTCTGGTTCCTCA